AACTCGAAATTGAACCAGAAAATTGGAAAAATACATTAAGCGTACGAGAAAGGAAATGCCAAAACCTCGGAAAAGATAAAAAAGACCAGTATCCATTATATAGCTAAATGAATGTATAGTAGACAAATGAACAGAATATTTCAAGATGCTGCTAAAAGGGGATCATTTGCAGTTTGATGATATTAAGTGGACGATGTATGTTTATTATGTTGAAAACCACATTATTTTCGATTGCTACTAAAGGTGCACATCGGGACTATCTTCACTTTGAAGCAGGATATAGAGAGGTATATCGAAAAAGTTATAGCTCATAGTTCTCCTTTTTTTTAGTGCATTTGCAAACGCTTTTTTAAGGAATCTTATATTAGTTATAGCTCGTTATTGTTCAGGAATTGCGACATAAATTGTTCAGAGTTTGTACCATATCATAAAAAAATAGGAAATTTTAATATTGAATGTATTATTCTCCCTGCACAAAGAAAGATGGAAAGGGTGAAACCGAACTGCTTCGCACAGTTTTGCGCGTACATAGGCAACAAGTATATTAGAAAATAATATGAAAGGACTGTATTTTTTACCTTTACAAGAAAGGAGATACTAGGAAATGTAATACCCACCAAGATCCATTCCTGTTTAGAGTACCAAAGAAACCACTTTATTTTCGATTGCTAGAGAGGTATATCGAGAAAGTTATAGCTCATAGCTCTCCTCCTTTTTAGTGCATTTGCAAACGATTTTTTAAGGAATCTATAAGGAAAACGAGCTTTTCCGAAAGACAATTAGATATTATCATAATCCAAAGTGTGAGGCACTAAGAAGATAGAGAGCTATTTTTCTATTTTATGGACTTCTCTATAACCTGTCTTAAAGTGAAGGCAGTCCCGATTTTTAACTTCTCTTCCAATGTGCAACTAGAGTTTCTCAATCCATATCGCTCTGGCAATCGAAAATATTTCTTATTCCAGCTTCTACGATTCTTGAGTATAATTTCTTTGGTACACTAAACAGGAATGGATCTTGGTGGGTATTACATTTCCTAGTATCTCCTTTCTTGTAAAGGTAAAAAATACAGTCCTTTCATATTATTTTCTAACATACTTGTTGCCTATGTACGCGCAAAACTGTGCGAAGCAGTTCGGTTTCACTCGTTCCATCTTTCTTTGTGCAGAGAGAATAATGCATTCAATATTAAAATTTCCTATTTTTTTATGATATGGTACAAACTCTGAACAATTTATGCCGCAATTCCTGAACAATAACGAGCTATAACTAATATAAGATTCCTTAAAAAAGCGTTTGCAAATGTACTAAAAAAAAGGAGAACTATGAGCTATAACTTTTTCGATATACCTCTCTATATCCTGCTTCAAAGTGAAGATAGTCCCGATGTGCACCTTCAGTAGCAATCGAAAATAATGTGGTTTTCAACATAATAAACATACATCGTCCACTTAATATCATCAAACTGCAAATGATCCCCTTTTAGCAGCATCTTGAAATATTCTGTACATTTGTCTACTATACATTCATTTAGCTATATAATGGATACTGGTCTTTTTTATCTTTTCCGAGGTTTTGGCATTTCCTTTCTCGTACGCTTAATGTATTTTTCCAATTTTCTGGTTCAATTTCGAGTTTTTCTCATTTTAAGACCAAAAACAAACAATCAGTTCTGGTTTATAGAAGAACTTATAGCGTCACCCTTTCTATCTTTCTTTGTGCAGGGAGAATAATTCATTCAATATTAAAATTTACTGTTTATTTATGATATAGTCCAACTTCCGCACAAAATAAAGGAAATAAAAATTAATATTTTAATTAGTGATATATGAGGTTTACTAAATAACCCGGTTGATATTCATTATATATCGTTTAGATTAGGTATATATTATTTTAGTTTATAAACAGGTATTAATATGACTCATTTCCTTGGAAGTGTATAAAAATTTTAATTAAATCTAAGAATCAGTAAATATACAAAACATAGTTTTAAATTGCAAACGTTAAATAAAAAAATAAAGATATTTAGCAAAGTATTTTTTTATTAAGTTTTGTTATTATAATTATATCATTTTTACAATTGAGGTCTTCTTAAACAACCTACGTATAGAATAAAGGAGGTTAAATTAAAAAAATAATAATAATACATTTTTTTTTTTATTTTAATTTTTTTTTAACATATAGATTATTGCATTAATATTTGTTTGTTAATAAAACCAATATAATGTACCAAAAATGTTATTATATCACTATAACTAAGCCATATATGTGTACTGAATGGTGTGGTAGATGCCTGTAGGCACTCACGCCAGTACCGCTTTTCTGCCGCATAAGTGTATTTTCTACGGAACTGCTTAAACTTTCTAAAAAATAATCAGCGTTTTAGAAAGAAAAATATATTCTCCAGATGTTTTATTTCATCACATTTTGCGTTATTGTAGACCGTTTAATTACAAACGACGCTTGATATGTAACTTGAAAATATTTTTGTTAAAAAAATTGAATTTACTGGTGTTTTTCATAGCATAAGCCAACTATTTTTTAATATTTCTTCCTGTTTTATTATTCTATGACTATTCAGCTTTAATAAAAGACCAACTATGAGGGAATTAAGCCAAATGCTGATTCTCAGTGACCAAAAAACTAACTAAAGTCAAAGTCGTCAATCCGCCATCTTTGGGGCAGTGCGTTCACTTTTTTTTGTGGGAACATTGCCTTTTTTTAAACAAATAGTTACAAGGAACACAACGATATGCAATTTATAGGGATGTGGGAGGGGAGGGGGTGCACGGTAAGGGGGTCTGGCCCACCGTGTAAAAAAAAAGGCACTTGTAGGGTGCGTGGACTGTGATTTCCTTGGGAGTAGTTCGGAAGTAAACCTACATAAAAAGGAAAATGGTACCTAAATTTTGAATTTTACTCGAAGAGTACTTTGAATTAGACTTCGAGGCTACAACCTGATTTCTGTAAAAAGTTCAAAATGACAATTTGATTGGCTTTATATTTTTTTTGTTACCTACAACTTGGATTGATCTAGCAGACCATAAGTATATTCTCATAAAGAGTTCACCACTGGTATAATGTTTTTCCTAAGTATTGTTTAAAAATACCCTACATGTACAGAGAGACAAAAAGTAGTTGTATTTTCCCTAGGTACAATAAATAATCCTTATTAATGTATAAGCGCAGTATTCTGAGGCGCCAGATCCAATAAGATTTACCAGGGGTAGCTTCTGTAATTTTTTTTCTTATATCTTTTCTTCTTTGTGTAGCTAAACCTCTAACTAAAATATTATGCAATTTCCGGATCCACAAGTAACAAATAAGCTATTAAGCTTTTTGTATTTTGAATATGTTTTATACTAATGAAGTACTGTGTTATGCACTGACAATGAATGAACGATTCACATCCTCACCATTGTGCCAAATATACGTATATATAGTTGGATCCAATGCTTGTTCAGTCAGTATTCATTCTCTACTGGAATTAAGACGTATCGACAACACAGGTTCTTGCAAACATGCAGTATTCATACTTAATTTTCCTTGCTGTAGTTTGCACAGCACAGTCTGTAAGTTTATAATATATATTATTTTTTATTTCTTAAAGACATTTACAACTGTATTAAATAACACTTTATACATTCTGTATTTACATGACCACATTTCATGGAGCATTTCATTACGTTTTATCTGTAATATTATCTAAAACCTTCAATGGAACTTACAGTTTTTTTAAATGTTTTTTTTATTATTTCTTAATGTTATTTACGACTTTATTAAATAAATACATCTAGTGAATTAGAACATAATGTATATAATGACATGAAAAACGCTTGCTGAGTAACTACCCAATGGTAGCACTCTAATGATATGTTTACATTAGGAGATCACGGGGCCATCTTCTTTTCAGACGCCTCGGAGGGTTATCAGGAATTGAAGAGGAAGCAAGGTTAGAAACGAGAGGGTTGGGATGATTATGAAGTTTATTGTGGAAGGATGGGTATCTGGATTGGGCCAGATCTGAAACAAAAGGAACATTCAGGTCATTATGGATGGTTTTATTTGTAACAAAGTAGGGAGCATTGAGGATTTTACGAAGGATTTTGGATTGTAAGGATTGGATACGACAGGAATTCGATGGTTTAGTGGAGCCCCATATCTCAAATCCGTAAGTCGAAATAGGCCTTATTGTAGTCAAGTATATGAGTTTTTTGTAATTAATTGGAAGATTAGAACGTTTGTCGAGTAAGTGATGAAGTAATCGGAAACGTCGAGCGCTTTCGTGTCGTTTCAGTCTAGTATGAGGATTCCAAGTTAGTCTTTTGTCCAGGTGGAGTCCTAGGTATCGGATTTGCTCAACAGGGATAAGTGGGGTATTGTTAAAGGAAACTGTAGGACAAGAAGTTGTTGGTTGGTTGGTTACGATTATAATATTTAAATATTAATCTGACACTTAAGATTATAGCTATATTTGTATCCAAAAAAGTATATATCTCTATCTAATATGACACTACAACCTTCTAATTAGTTATACCTTAGTCGAATATTCTTCTTTACGCTCTCACCATTCCATTCATCACTTCAACTTTGAATTGAAAAACATCGTTGTGTTCTGAGGTTAGGTCCATGCAAAGTCGAGAGCTTCTTCTGGATCACATCATCACTGTTTTTATCTGCGTTGCCAATAACACTGATCCATAATTCATTTTTACTGCCTTGCATTCCCTTGAGGCGCTGCGCCAAAGTCTAAGTTGCACAGGTATCACACACAGGTAGTTTCAAGTTCTGACTTAATCCAAAATTCATGAGTGCCGGTGTCAACCAGAATCCACTTCCTTATTTCTAAATTCTGAATGGAAATTCCCTGACAATATCCTGCTATATAATCCAATTGGTTACCATATTTATTATTTAATTTAGGTTTCATTAACAATCAAACTTATCTTCGCTGCAGCCTCTCAGTTCCACAAGGTATTGCCTGATAAAGCTAGAAGCTGCGCCATCATCTTACTTATTGTGTCAGACCTTTTAATGTGAATGTCACAGACTGCCTTTTCCAGAGCAAGAAGATAGAAAGCATGAGTCCTCTCTTTGATGTAAATTCTTCCGATCTGTGCCCCCTTGTTTCATAACACAAATCTCCTTCATGGGTCATCTACTCAACATAATAAACTCAGTTCAGGTTCAGTGTTGTCGTAGGACAATTTCAACATAGAGGTGAAGTGTTTCGATATCGTACCCGTGACCTTGTTCCAGAATAGTCCTCGAGCAGAAGATCTGTTGTATCGTTGATCTCTTGTTTTAATATCCACACTGGTAACGTTCCAGTTTTAGTTCCATAAACGATAAAAGTCTATGGGACTGAATGCTGGATAGGAGAAGCTAAAAAACAGAGCAATAACACCATAATATTTGAAGCACTTCACTATGCCGCCCTTTTCATATGTTGGAGGTGTAATGGTTAAAAAAAAAAAAAAAAATAAGGAACCAAAAAACCAAAGAGTAATGTTTTACAAGTAGACTTCATCGCATCAAATGATTAAACGTTATAATATGGATGATATAAAGTTTCTTATTTACAAGACTTTATATTAATGAAATCAAATTTGTGGATCAATGAGGTTTTTTTAAAACGTTAATAGTTTATTGATTAAATATAATAAAGTTGTATTGATTTTTACTTCCAGGTTTTGTCAATGTCATTAAAGGAGATCAGTGATGCTTGTAAGAAAGAGTATAACTTTGATGGCGATTTAGATAAAATTAGTAAGACATATTTCTTTTTTTATATTTTTTCATAAATTCAAATTAATATTTAATTCAAGTTTTTTAGTCTAATATTCATTTTACTTTTCAGATTACGACGATCCTGAATTTCCAAAAGAAGCTAAGGTATTTGCGTTAAAATTTATTTTCGTCTTAAGGCTTTGATTTGGATTATTTCTAACAATTCTTCATCCTGGTTTACTATATTCACGTTTCTCGAACAGGAATATGTGATAATTCCTCATTTTTCCTAATCATTTCAAACATGATCTCTTTATTTTACGATGAATCTTCCTTAGGTTATTATAAGAGATCAGATTTTTTTAAATGAATAAGGATTCATAAAATTCATAAGCTACTTAAATATTAAGGTATGATTCGCCTAATGCACAAAAAATTAGATTAAAAAGATCAACAATCCTAGCAATAGTACATAGTTGCCAGTATTGTTTCTATTAAGAGAACTTTGGATGATAATATATCCATCCTGCTCTGAAGTATTTCTACTATATCACTTACGTGCCCTCACACTGGCAATGGAATGCTAAAAGTAACCGAATGTTGAAAAGCATATTCACATGCGATTTCCTTCTTTACCAATAAGTTCATCTACGAGTCATTTAGAATCGAAGCTTATACTGATATCAAAAAACTATAACATAATAATAATAACAAAACAGACAGGCATGGTGGAATGAAGATTTGGATAGCGAGATGACCTTTTTTTTTTATATATCAGGCTTTATTTTTATGTAATTTCTCAAAATACGTAATGTTTCAACTGTGTTATTAAAAAGTATGCTCCTCTACAACTTCTATAAATTCATTGTACAAATAAAAACGATATTTGATCATTATTATTCTTTAATATTGTTTCAAAATTAATTACTGAACGATTTCTAAATTAGGACCGGTAAAATTAATTAAAGATTCTAAAAATTGATAATTAAATTAAATTAGTCTGTAAATTTCGGGGTTGGCTGAAATTTGGTTTGTCCCCCATACCAACTTTTAAAAACGGCCCAACCGCATTTACAACATTTTCTATTTAGTAATTTGTTAAGTCAGTAACTGTCCCAGAATATTACCAAGATATCTCAGAAAAATTTTAAAAACTATTTCTCTAATTCGTTTAATTATTATTGTACTGAACTGTGTATAGGAATCTTTAAAAATTTATAATTTTATTTAAATTGATAAAAGAATTTTAAGTTCAAATTATAATTAATTCTTCCAAATTACAGTGTACATTGGCCTGTTCATTTGAGAAAAAGGGTGTGGTAAGTATTATTTTCTCACAACATCATTACATTAAATCAATGTTACTCAACTATATATATAATAACCTATTATTTAGATGAAAGCAGATGGATCGTTCGATAAGGAAAAGGATAAAGAGGCTGTTGAAGAAATAGTGAAAGATGAAGTGCTAAAAGCAAAGTTGATGGCAGCGATTGATGAATGTGATGTTACAGGTATGTTTTATATACATGTCGTTTATGTTCATGATATGAAGTCAACTTTTTCTGAAATATCAGAAATATTATTTTAAAATATATATTAATAATATTTCAGCGAATGCAGATAAATGTGAAGCGGCTTACGAGTTTGTAAAATGCAAAAAAGCGAAGGTAAGGTGGTCTTAAAACATTTTATTGCTTAAATAATTATCTTTTTATTAAAAAATTACCTGAATACCGTAAATTTTTGTCATATATATGTATGTGTGTTAAATTAAAATGTGTATCAAACAACTTTAATATAATTGATACCTTAATAGAATAATTTAATGCCTGCTGACAAAGACATTTTCAATCCCTCGTTCCGATCTATCACTCTCTGTGTAATATGTTTCAAAGTCAGCGAAAGATTAATATACAAAAGATTGGTTGGTATACTAACGCATAAAAAAATAATTCCCGACCATTAATTTATTTTTGTTTATTACATTCAACGAAATACCAATTACACAGTTACTAACAACATTGCTGGTGTAAATGTAATTACTAATTACATTTCATATTAAACTAAGCGGACACGACCACAGACTTATAAACGACTAACAACGGATGAAATGCTCATCAGGAGGAGACTGAAAAGGATCTGGTTGAAAGATTTTCTGATTTAAAAAAGTAAACATAGATCAGGGAAGAGGTGCTGCTGGTTTATTATCTATATTCTCCCTTGTTCCTAATGTGTCATCTTCTAACGTAAAAACAAATCATTGGCACATTCATTTCTGTGATGTTACCGCAACATTTTCGTGAAAATCACCTACTTTTTTTCATAAATTGTTTACATTTTTATAAGTTTCTCAAAAACAGCTCTGACAAATTTAATTTAATTCGGAAAATAATAACTTCAGCCTCAATAGCATATTTAAATAATTAACTGGATTACATTTAGTAATAGATGAAAATGGGGACGGCCATAGAGTTCTTTGTTCCAAATCGTGGGTTCAATACCCAACTGGGTTAGCTAATTTTTGTTTTTTCGGCGACCTTAAGAAATTAATTTTTACACTACCACTCCGGTAAAAATAGGGCAGCAATATATATTTAAACACCAGGAAGTGGCAATCAGAGCTACGAGGCCCATTTGTTTTAATTATCCACTTCCAATGATTATTTCATCTTATTTTTTTCTGAATAGATGTTAGGATTATATACCTTACGCTTAAATAAATTATATAATTTATATTTGTTGCAGGCTGGACCACATTGAATATGAAGACGGAAGGCTCATTTATTTTATTAGGTTATTCCCTCTTACATGTAGTCGAATATATAAATAAAAATAATTATCATGTACATTAATATATAACATATACATTGTTTTTTAATCTTTAACAATAAATATTAACTTTATGTCGAAAATATTGTAGTTGTCAATAAATCCTTTAATCTTACAATATTATTTTCTTGATATAATCGGTAGGTACTTACTTATGATTATGGTAGGTAACTAACCTCTAATCATGAATTCAGTCCTGCGCATGCGCTAGTATCTAACAACCAACCTGCTACATCGTCCCTCGCAAGTATCTTAATTATCAGTGAATTTGTGAACTGTTATGTTAAAAAATCAGTGTAATTAACAATTATATAGTTAATTCTTGAACAGAACCATAAACACGGTGAGTAACCGCTTTTTTATTAATTTTGAACAATAGTGTAAACAACCATAGAATTAGATAGAGTGGCCCTTCTTATCTGCAGTCCCCCCACTTAGAGCCCGGCAGTCTCAGTACCTGTAGAGTTTTCTAAGTAGCTGGTTCATATCACTCGGCCCTCTATCGGTCTGCGTAATTTTTACGTAAAAAAAAAAAAAAAAAAAAAGCTTTTTCAATAGTCGTTGACATGAAATGCGATATTATCATATGATAATGTCTAGTAAGAACAAAAGATCGAGAAGCTTAGGCAATAATAGTTCTCTAATTCGCCAGAAAAGCAAAAGCCTAGGCGTTCTAACAGAAAAACACCACCATCTACACCTGACAGACCAAATGAACCACAATCTGGTACCACTAAATGGTAAATAGTAAATTATGACCACCGAAGCAAACATTGAAACAGATGAATCACCATTTTTTACTCCTAACCCATACCAACTACTATCTAATACTCCAGAAGAAACAATGGAAATACCATCAACTCCCAGAGAGCCAAACCACCTCCAATATTTATAAAAAATATAAAAAATTTTCCGTTATTTTGCCAGCACTTAAATAAATTACTTGACAATGGTAAATACACATGTCAAAGTCGAATCAATGACACCAAGTTAATGCCAGATTCCCCTGAATCATATAGAAAAATAATAAAATACTTGACTGATACAAAGGCGGAATTCCATACATATCAGTTATTCCAAGAGAGAGCACTAAGAGTAGTAATAAGAGGCCTCCACCCATCAACTCCACCTGAGGCAATCAAAGAAGAATTGACAGAACTGGGTTTCAGTGTCCGCCAAATTATCAACTTACGTAAAGATAACAAAGAGCAACCAGGTACAAACAACAAAATAGCCCTACCACTTTTTTTTGTTGACCTAGAGAGCACCACTGGGGTTGATAACATCTATAAATTAAGACGCCTGTACTATACTAGTATATTTGTCGAAAAACCATATGTAAAACGGGAAATAGTCCAATGTCATAATTGCCAATCATATGGCCATACTAAAAGCTATTGCCACCGCTTACCGCGATGCGTGAAGTTCGGGCAACAACATAAGTCGGAAGATTGCAGTAAGTCCAAGGAAATTCCTGCGGTATGCGCATTATGCCATAAAGATCACCCTGCAAACTACAAAGGATGCCAGACATATAAAATCTTAAAATCAAGATTACAGACAGCACCTAGACATGAAGAGACTTACAGGACTCCCAGACCACCAAGGCAACCCTCAAGATTTGCAAACAAAGAAGTCTCTTATGCACAAATGTTAGGAGAACTAGAACAGCATTCTCAACCTCAGGCCCTGCCGCAAACTCAGCCATTACCTCATGGTTCACCACCCGAACATAATAACACCCAAAAATTCAGTCCTCACCAAATATCCTAAATTCCTCCCCTTAACAATTCCAATGACCTTACCAGCCTCCTTACATCATTCCTCTCCGAAATCAAATCCCTTATCACCCCGCTCATTACCTTACTTACAAACGTCATAGCCAATCTTATTCCACCGCCAAGAATTCCTTGAATGTCCTCAATAAAACCCCTCTCCATTCTCCTTTGGAATGCGAATAGTGTTCGAAATCATATTAACGAACTAACTTTTTTTCTACAGGACAATAACATAGACATAGGCCTAATAACTGAGACCCGACTAACTAACAAAAGACAGTTCAACATACCTGGCTACAAGATATATCGAACTAACCACCCTGATGGAACAGCACATGCTGGCACTGCTGTCATCATCCACCAATCCCTCTCCCATCATTTTTATCCCCTACCAGTTCACGATTTCCTACAAACCTCAGCAATAACTATCGAAACTTCACTTTTTCCTGTTACAGCTGTCGCAGCATTCACTGGTGGTCAGTTGCTCTCCACCTAAAAAACCAATACCTGAAACTAACTTAATTTCCTTTCTTAATTCCCTAGGACACCATTTCCTTATAGGTGCAGACCTTAATGCCAAACATCAGCAATGGGGAGCCAGAACCACGAATTCCCGCGGGCGAACATTGCTGTCTGCTCTTAATTCCCATAATAGCAACATCCTTTCTCCTGATACTCCTACATACTGGCCAACAGATCCTAACTGTAATCCTGACCTCCTTGACCTCTTCATTCACAAAGGCCTAGGGCCGCTAAATTTTTCAATTTCACGGCTCGATGACCTTTCCTCAGACTATAGTCCGCTGAACCTAACCCTTTCGGCATCGCCTATCTCCAAATTATCTCCTCCCTCATTCATCAGAGGCCCAGTCAACTGGAACCTTTTCCGCCAAACAATAACAGATGCTATAGACCTCAGAGTACCCCTAAAAACTCCTCAAGACCTAGATAATGCAGTGAGTTCCTTCACCACCTTGATCCAACAAGCAGTCTGGACTGCATCCTCACCACTCCCCTCCAAAAAATCCCTCAAAAAGAATCCCTTTCCCCAAAACCTTACTGACCTCATTAAATCCAAACGCCAATCTAGGACCCTCTGGCAAAGAACCAGGCATCCTGAAGATCGGAAATTATATAATTACTATTCCAAACAGGTTAAAAAAGAACTGACGACCTTTAGATCCCAATCCTACAATTAGTACCTTTCCTCCCTCTCTACCGATGACAACTCCCTCTGGAAAGTGACCAAAAAAATCCTTAAATACCAATCTATTTCCCACCCACTCCGACGAGATGATGGAACCTGGGCTTCGTCAGATGAGACTAGAGCTGAAGAATTTGCCAAACATCTATCCAAAACATTCACTCCCCACACCAAACTCCATCCCACCCACACTGCTGAAGTTAATGAACTCCTCTCTTCTCCGAATCCTCTCTCCCTGCCTCCTAAAGCTGTCAACCCCTCTGAGGTCAAATTCCATATAAACAACCTGAAACCTCGAAAATCCCCTGGACACGATTTCCTTACTTCCCAGATCCTTAGACAACTTCCCAAAAAAGCAATCATGTTCCTCACATACCTGTATAACTGTACCCTCCGCACGACTCATTTTCCTCTCATATGGAAACACTCCGTTATTATCCTCTTCCCTAAACCAGGTAAACCTGTTAATAATACCTCATCCTATAGACCAATAAGCTTACTTCCGATCCTCTCGAAAATCTTTGAAAAAATCCTTCTCAATCGTATCCTACCCATTCTCGAAACCCACAATATCCCCTCCCATCAGTTTGGTTTCCGCTCAAGACATTCCACTGTTCAACAAGGCCTCCGCGTTGTTGACCATATATCCTCTGCGTTTGAAAACAAGCAATATTGCACTAGTGGCTTTCTGGACGTAGCGCAAGCTTTCGACCGGGTGTGGCACGATGGCTTGCTTTTCAAGCTCAAAACCTATTTACCCCAATCCTTGTATCTAGTCCTCAAATCCTACCTCTCAAATCGTTCCTTTCAAGTCCGCTGCGGCACTGAATTCTTCAACTATTATCCAGTTGAGGCTGGTGTTCCACAAGGCAGTGTCTTGGGCCCAGTTCTCTACATCCTTTTCACAGCTGACATTCCAACCCATCCTAATACCCTTCTAGCAACATTTGCTGATGATACCGCCATCCTTTCTTCCCACCCAGACCCTGAAACAGCATCCCTAAACCTTCAAAGACACATCTCCCTAATAGAGCAATGGTGCAACAATTGGCGTATCAAGATCAATGAATCCAAATGCAAGCATGTCACCTTTACCCTCCGACGCAGATCCTGTCCACATATCCTTTTCAACTCAGTACTTCTTCCCATCTCAGACACAGTTCGGTATCTTGGACTCCTTTTAGACAAAAGACTAACATGGAACCCACATACCAGACTTAAAAGACAAGAGCTTAACCAACGACTTGGCCAGTTATACAGACTATTTAACAGAAAATCTAACCCCTCAATTGAAAACAAACTATTAATATACAAGACCATACTGAAACCCATCTGGACCTTCGGACTTGAACTGTGGGGAACAACTAAATTATCGAACATCAAACGCATCCAATCCTTCCAGTCTAAAATCCTCCGTATAATAGTCAATGCTCCTTACTATGTTACGAACAAAACCGTACATCATGAACTTAACATCCCTTATGTCCTTGACGTTATTCCATCCCGATTATCAAATTTTCATCAGAACCTAACCTATCATCCTAATCCCTTAGCACAATCCTTATCTAGTTCCAGTCATCCCTACAATCCTCCTCGAAGGTTGAAGCGGCAGTGGCCTCGAGATCTTTTGTAAAGACGTCATTGGAGTTCTGGCAATGGCCAGCTTCTCCACTCAAGTCATGAGCGTATGTGGCTTTAGTGTCCTCTCTCAGTCTCCACTGGATTCCCATTCTAGTGATGCGACTGAGAGAGAAGCGCTGGAATCTCTTGGAGTCTTGCCTTGTCCTCCACACGTGGGGGAAAAGACCCGACTCGGAGCTCCCTCGGCTGACTGTAAATATTGTAAATAAGTTTGAATGTGTTTTTATTTATTATTTTTTATTTATTTATTTTTTTTATTTTTTAGTTTTCAATTTAATGTTATATCAGTTTGATTTATTCTGTTACTCCAAGTTTTATTTTATTTTATTTTCTTATAATCTTGTATATATGGTATGATTGTACTTCATTCATCATAAATACTCAATGCCCTTAATTAAGGCAAAATGAATTTTTTCTTTCTCTCAATAAAAAAAAAAAACATGAATTATTACGAGGATGAGAAAGTGTTTGTGTAAACGTCTTAGAAAGAGAGAGAATCGTTTTAATCTTAAGACCTTGACAAACCCGTACATTTCTTCACCTCCACCATTCAGTCGAAAGTATGGACAAATCATTCCTCATGAACCCATAAGAAAAATAATATCAGGCTTTATTTTTATGTAATCTCTCAAAATACGTAATTTTTTAACTGTGTTATTAAAAAGTATGCTCCTCTACAACTTCTATAAATTCATTGTACAAATAAAAAGGATATTTGATCATTATTATTATTTAATATTGTTTCAAAATTAATTACTGAAACATTTCTAAATTAGAACCGGTAAAATTAATTAAAGATTCTAAAAATTGATAATTAAATTAAATTAGTCTGTAAATTTCGGGGTTGGCTGAAATTTTGTTTGTCCCCCATACCAACTTTTAAAAACGTCCCAACCGCATTCACAAAATTTTCTATTTAGTAATTTGTTAAGTCAGTAGACTGTCCCAGAATATTATCAAGATATCTCAGAAAATTTGTAAAAATTATTTCTCTAATTCGTTTAATTATTATTGCACTGAACTGTGTATTGGAATCATTTAAAATTTATAATTTTATTTCTATTGATAAAAGAATTTAAAATTCAAATTATAATTAATTCTTCCAAATTACAGTGTACATTGGCCTGTTCATTTGAGAAAAAGGGTGTGGTAAGTATTATTTTCTCATAACATCATTACATTAAATCAATGTTACTCAACTATATATATATAATAACCTATTATTTAGATGAAAGCAGATGGATCCTTCGATAAAGAAAAGGATAAAGAGGCTGTTGAAGAAATAGTGAAAGATGAAGTGCTAAAAGCAAAGTTGATGGCAGCGATTGATGAATGCGATGTTACAGGTATGTTTTATATACATGTCGTTTATGTTCATGATATGAAGTCAACTTTTTCTGAAATATCAGAAATATTATTTTAATATATATATTAATAATATTTCAGCGAATGCAGATAAATGTGAAGCGGCTTACGAGTTTGTAAAATGCAAAAAAGCGAAGGTAAGGCGGTCTTAAAACATTTTATTGCTTAAATAATTATCTTTTTATTAACAAATTACCTGAATACCGTAAATTTTTGTCATATATATGTATGTGTGTTAAATTAAAATGTGTATCAAACAACTTTAATATAATTGATACCTTAATAGAATAATTTAATGTCTGCTGACAAAGACATTTTCAATCCCTCGTTCCGATCTATTACTCTCTGTGTAATATGTTTCAAAGTTAGCGAAAAATTAATATACAAAAGATTGGTTGGTACACTAACGCATAAAAAAATAATTCCCGACCATTAATTTGTTTTTGTTTATTACATTCAACGAAATACCAATTACACAGTTACTAACAACATTGCTGGTGTAAATGTAATTACTAATTACATTTCATATTAAACTAAGCGGACACGACCACAGACTTATAAACGACTAACAACGGATGAAATGCTCATCAGGAGGAGACTGAAAAGGAGTTGGTTGAAAGATTTTCTGATTTAAAAAAGTAAACATAGATCAGGGAAGAGGTGCTGCTGGTTTATTACCTATATTCTCCCTCGTTCCTAATGTCATCTTCTAACGTAAAAACAAATCATTGTCAGATTCATTGCTTTGATGTTACCGCAACATTTTCGTGAAAATCACCTACTTTTTTATATAAATTGTTTACATTTTTATAACTTTCTCAAAAATAGCTCTGACGAATTTAATTTAATTCGTAAAATAATAACTTAAGCCTCAATGGCATATTCAAATAATTAACTGGATTACATTTAGTAATAGATGAAAATGGGGACGGCCATAGAGTTCTTTGTTCCAAATCGTGGATTCAATACCCAACTGGGTTAGCTAATTTTTGATTTCTCGGCGACCTTAAGAAATTAATTTTTACACTACCACTCCGGTAAAAATAGGGCAGCAATATATATTTAAACACCAGGAAGTGGCAATAAGAGCTACGAGGCCCATTTGTTTTAATTATCCATTTTCAATGATTATTTCATCTTATTTTTTTTCTCAATAGATGTTAGGATTATATACCTTACGCTTAAATAAATTATACAATTTATATTTGTTATAGGCTGGACCACATTGAATATGAAGACGGAAGGCTCATTTATTTTATTAGGTTATTCCCACTTACATGTAGGAACTTACTTATGATTTTGATAGGTAACTGACTAATCATGAGATTATTACGAGGTTGAGAAAGTGTTTGTGTGAATGTGTAAGAAAGGGAGAGAATCGTTTTAATCTTAAGACCTTGGCAATCCCGTACATTTCTTCACCTCCACCATTCAGTCGAAAGGATGGACAAACCATTCCTCATGAACCCATAAGAAAAATAGTTTACTCCAACACCTCATAGACCCAATCCACACCAAACACAGTGCCAGATTATTATGGCAACGTACCAAACACCCCATCGATCGCCGCTCCTACAATTATAATTGTAAACTATTAAAGCAAGAATTATAATCCTTCAGATCCCAATATTTTGATACCTACCTTACTTTTCTCTCTGTTCACGACAATTCCCTCTGGAAATCCACCAAAAAAATCCTTAAATCCTATTACATTTCTGACCACCTTGAGATGCGATGACTCCTTGGCAGTGTCTGATGAAGACAATGCTGAGGAATTAGAAGGAGTCAGACACCTCTCCAGTACATTTACTTCCATCCAACCCATACCGCAAAATTAGAAGAATTCTACTCTTCACCGATTCCACTCTCCTTACCACCTAAAGCAGTTAATCCATCTGAGGTCAAATACTTTTAAGCAATATCATTCCTCGTAAATCTCCTAGATACGACCTCCTAACCCTCCAGATCCTTTGGAAACTTCCACCTAAAGCTATCATATTCCTTACATATATTTTTAATGTCATCTTAAGAACTACCCACTTTCCTCTCCCTTGAAAACATTCCACCATCGTCCTTTTCCTGAAACCAAACAAACCTGCCAACAATACATCATCCTATAGACCAATTAGCCTACTCCCAATATTATCAAAAATGTTTGAAAAGATCCTACTGAAAATAATCCTACCATAATAGAAACCCATAAAATTCCTACCCATCAATTCGAATTTCGTTCCAAACATTCCTCTGTCGATCATATGTCCTCAGCCCTAGAAAAGAAGCAATATTGTTCTGGTGCATTTCTGGACATAGCACAAGCTTTTGACCGGCTATGGCAATCAGGACTGCCTTCAAGCTTGAACTTTATCTACTATAGTCCTTATATCTAATACTCCAACCCTACCTCTCTGGCCCCTCCTTTCAAGTTCGCTGTGGTACCGAATTCTCCAACTGCCATTTTTTTTGGGTCCTTCCCTACCTTGCCTCTAAGGCTATACCGGGTTTTCTCCAGCCAGGGAGCGTGGGCGGGGATTTAAAAGACGCCCCGGCACCCGGACGTGAACTCGTGACTATATTTTATCTTTTTATCATATATGAGGTTGCCAGGCAACGAAAGTGCTGTGCACACACGTTATCCCGTTCGGCAACCCCTCCTTCTCCGACTGCCATTTGTCAATTGTCCGACTGTTAATTGAGGCGGGAGTTCCACAGGGTCTTGGGTCCCATGTTTTATATCATCCAAATCTTCTTGCACAATTCCTATCAAGCTGGGTGCTATCCCTATAATCCTCCAAGAAGGTTGAAACGGCAGTGGCCTTGCGACTTTTTATAGATTGCATATATTGGAGTTCTGGCAATGGCCAGATTCTTCACTCAAGACATGAGTGTATGTGGCTAAAGTGCTCTCAATCAATCTCCGTTGGCTTTAGTACCAGTGATGTGGTTGAGAGAGTAGCGTAGGATTCTCCTCGAGTCCAGCTTTTCCCTCGATAGTTGGGAAATAACTTCCTCCGAGTTCCCTCGCCTGATTGTAAATAGTGCATATAGGTATGCATATGTTTTTTGCTTAGTTTTAGTTTTCTTATTTTTAGGTTATTTTATTTTATTTTATTTATTGTATATTTTTTTTATCATTATTTATTGTTATTCTGCTTCTGTTTATTTTATATTTTGTGTACATGTAGTGAAAATGTTATTATATCTCTCTATAACTATGTCTATGTGACAGATTGTTGTAATTTCAATAAATAAAAAAATATCTTAATTAACATTTTTTTTTTTACAATACTACATTCTGCCACATTTAAGAACATTAGCAGTAGTGGTATAGTAGCTCATTCAGACTCAATGTACAGTAATTAAAAAAACAAAATAATAATAGTAACAATTAATCTATATAAACAAAATGAAACTAAACTAATCTAAAAAACTTAAACTAAAATAACAACATAAATACACACATTCATTTATACAATATATTTAATACAATGTATTTCATTTCTGAACATGATTCAAGGCTCTAAATTAGCAAAGTTACATATTCTATTTTACTACTCTATCTTTGGGGTTTGGTTGAAAAATTCACATTTGTCAATCTAAACGAAATTAATTACTTGCTAAATCTGGTAGCTCATGCAATCCCTAAACCTGATATAAGTTTTATGTACTACGTAATTATGTACCATTCCAGTCAATTTCACCTATTTATAAATAAAAACCACCTTTATTTATAAATAAAAACCACAAAAACCAGTTTCAACCACTTAATTTTTCAAATTTTAATGTATCAAGTATATATATTTTATGTGTTTTAGTTGAGTTCTTTAAGGATAGCTCTTTTACTTGTATGCAATGAATTAAAATGAGTCAGACATGAAGTTATATTCATATTATTTCATATTCATTTTATTTCATATTCATATTCATTTCAGAAGCTAGGAATTGTTTTGGATGAAAGATTTAAACTCGAAGGTTGGAATGACTAAATTGTTTTGTATTTAAAGAAGAATATTTAGCGTAAAACATTGATTTTTTTTTTTACGAAGCACGCTTTACTTTTTTTTACTATGAAAAACAATCACAATTTATATTTTTCGCATGTTCCAGCATTGTGTGTCAATTCGGCTCCAAGAATAATTAATTTAATTGTCAAAAATGGCACTTAGATATTTAAAAAGTTTAGCCGCCCTTGCCCCATTGTGCGACGGGGAGGGGATGGGACTCCCATGTTGCCGTTTGCAGTGTTGCCGTTTGTATGAGGATCCTCGTATTTGTACGAGGTTATGGCGTAATGTACGAGGTACGAGGATAAATCAGCCTCGTACCTCGTACATAAGTTTTGCTGACGTATACAATGCAAGGTTATATTTTTATGAATGAAGTTTAGCATTGTTTTAAGGTTATTTTGACTGTATTATTATTTATATTGATATGAAATACTGAACTTCTTTTGCTTTCTAGACATATCAATTGAAATTATATCTTCTTTAATTAGAGTATAATTATTATTTCCTTCATAAACCCACCCATCATGGGAGGGTGAAGAACTGTGGAATGTGGGAAAGAAGGGTCGACGAATGCCACCCCTGCCGGAGTATCAGGATGCCAGATGCCAGAGGAGCATTTTCAGGATAACATCACGCGTAGGGCTATAGGGCGAATATTAATACACTGAATAAGTTCCCTAATATCTCATTATTTATTTTCCTTATTTTTGATTTTATTTATAACTGACAAGCTGCTGACATCACGTAAAAAACAAAAAAATATTGAATAATGCTTATATAATGTGAGAGTATTATCCATTTCACGATGAGAATTTATTTCAAATTAATTTGCTATACTGCACATTGGCGGTTAGTTACGTTATACATCACAAAAAATTATCCTTCAGTTATATAATTATTCACTTTAGTTGAAATGTATAACTACTAAATGTTTTAACTAAAACAAGAACATATGAGGATTTTTTAATTTCTGCAAACTAGTTAAAACAGAACAATATAGTCGAGTTTTCTCGGTCATAACGAGTGTGTCATTATTAGGGTATTTAGTTATTAATGACTTCATTAAGTTTTTTTATGATTTTTACTTTCCTAGCTTTAGTAGGTAAAGAAGTTATTGCGATCAGGCCAAATTTCTGATATGCGGTTTC